TCTCTTAAAGCCGCTGCAGTTTCGCTTCCTGCAGTTCAGGCTCAGATCAGACAGCTGTTAATAACAAAGTATGACGATCTACGTCATGATTCTATGTCGCTGATTAAATAAAATTATATCGTAATGACGGCGTTTACTTGACAGATATAGCCGTCAGTTCGTGCTAAGCGTATGACAATCTGACAGAACAAATAAAAGTACTTATTGGACTTTTATTTAAGAAATATTCCCCTTCAAGATACGTTTACCTAACCATAGAATAAATGCAATGCACATTATGCAGAAATGAGAATTAGAAAATCGGACATAAAACCATTGTTTGAATGGAGAGGATAAGGACAAGGCGCCGCCTAGTGTCTACGTGCGGTATTGATGTTTTGGAACCGTATTTTATATAAACGTCCCACCCACACAGACATTCAGACATTCAGATAGTTTTAATACAACATTCAGAGATGCAGACTTTTTCTAGAAAGGTTAAATAAATAAAAAATCACCACCATGATAGTTTAAAAATTTTAACACTGATTTAATTATAGAAGAAAAAAAAATCCATAATGTTCGCAGTGAACGTTCAGACAACGTCTGGTGAACTGATGTTTACCATTGGCTAGCTGGTTGAGGGTTTGCAGACTGAGAGGAAAATGTTTTCTATGAAACTTTCTGGAACAGTTTCAGGCATCGATCTTCTAAGAAGATTTTTATTTCTCACTCTGCAGCGAAAAAGGATTTTAAAAGTATTTCTGTGTGTTTTGGTGGTAAAATGTGTTTCAGCACTTCTTCTTTCCAGTTTCACTTCCTCCTCTGGATTCCTTGAGGAATCCAGAGGAGGAGGAGGAGCCGCTGCTTTCTGAGAACAGCTGCTGATGATGAACATATAAACAGAGCCGGTTGGACCGGTCCGGCACACTTCCAGAACCTCCGGAACCATGAAGATCCAGCTGATCCTCTGCCTCCTGGCTCTCCTCTGCTCCCTGCGGTCCAGCTCTGCAGGTCAGAAACTTTCTCCTACTCCTCTCCACTGATGGAGACTCTCCTCCTCCTCCTCCTCCTCCTCCTCCTCTTCTCTGTTTCTCTACTTCAGCTGTAAATCTTTTGTTGGTGCTGAAGTTCTGGTTCTGTTCGCAGCTCCAGTCGGACCGGGCGAGATACTTGATGCCTGTTGCCATGGCAACGGCAAGACGCAGATTCCCAAAGGGAAAGTGAAGGAGATGAAGAACTCTCCGATTCACTGCAAAGTCAGATCTGTCATGTGAGTTCACCACAACTTTAATAAATTACTAAAATAATGACTGAAAACAGAATAAATATAATAAATTAGCATCAAAACGGAGATTCTGGGCTTCACTGACCAGACTGCTGCTGGATCCACATGACTAATGAAACTAAGCCAGCGTTCCAAAATAAAGCTCCTATGTTCTCTTCAAAATAAAAGTCTCAAATTGTGATCAGATTAGAACAAATCTGCATTATTATTATTATTATGATTATTATTATTATTATTAAACCAGGATGGAAACAATGATTCTGTTGGCTTTTAAAGATGCATAAATACCAAAATATGAACTTTGTTCTGGTGTTGGGCGGTCAGCCGGCCCGGTTCTGACCCAGAAGCTGTGTGTTCTGCCAGCCGGTCCGGTTCTGAACCTCCTGCATGTTGTTCTCCTGCAGAGTCACCACTGAGAGCAACAAGAAGTTCTGCCTGGATCCCAACTGGACCTGGACCCAGGTACTGCAGAGAGAGTTTAGGAAAGAAAAACGGCTCCACTGAGATCTGGATCTGGGTCGGAACCGAGTCTGCTGGAGCGGGAAGAACCGATTGGATGTTTTAACGACACACTGGACGTGTCGCTGATAGTTCTCCATTTTTACTGCTAATTTATGATTTTAATGAACGTTTGGCTTCTTGTTTTTTGTTCGTCTGCTAGTAAAACATGCTCAGTATTTATTTTGAAACAAAATATTTACTTTGCTAACAAAATATATTTTTGCTATGACAGGGTAATAACCTAAATTAATGCTGTTTATTTTGAATGTGTAACTTTACAAACAGGAACCATTTTGTTTTATACAGGTTAGTTCTGAACTCTAATTTATGGTTTTAGAGAAACTTTGGCTTCTTTTTACTTCTTGTTCAGTTTGTCAGCTGAAAACATGTTGCTGAAAAACTACTCACTCATTTCACAATAAAAGCTTTACTTTTCTATTTATTGTTCTGGCTCTTTACCTTCAGTCAGTCATGACTCCAAAAGTTTTCTGTTTGATTCCTTTTTCTAGAGGCAAGTATAAGAAACCGTTGTTTATTCATTTCTAAGCAAATTATTTACAAGCCTTTAAAGCTTCAGTAAGTGAAGCTATCATTAGTGTTCAAGCTAAATGTTAGCGAGCTGATTATCAAGCTTGAAGCTAAATATTTTAGTAAACAGTGTAACTATTGTTTACTAAGCTATATCCAGTTAGCAGGTTAAATATTTGGCTTCAAATTAAATATTTAGTCAAGGTTATTAGCAAGCTATATCAAATTAAATATTCAGCTTGGAGCTAAATACTTAACCAGCAAGCTAATTATCAAGTTTGAAGCTAAATATAATTAGTGATAAATATAAGTTAGCAAGCCATTTTTAAGCAAGCAAAATATTACTTAGCTTAGAGAAAATCTGAAGCTACATGTCTTAGCTGGCAAGATATCTAGTTAGAAAACTAAATATTTAGCTTTACGCTAAATATTTAGTTAGCAAGGTAAATGTTCTGGTACAAACTAAATTCTTTGAGTTATATATCTAATTATCTAAAATGCTAATGAAATACTTTGATTGAAATTAATATTTATAAATGAACGAATAACATGTTAACCCCTATTTTTTTCTCTTAAGACAAGCTAAATAACCACAATTATTTGTTAATTAGGCAAAAATAAAACATTAATATCAGAATTAAGTCATAATATTAGAAAAATCAAGTTGTAATTTTATGAGAACACAAAAAATAAAAAATTCAAATGAGGAATGTTGAGCATCTTATGAAGTTCTTTGGTATCAATTTTACAGATAAGGAAATAATCTTTTAACACATCAGCATCAGATTATTATCAGCATCAGGACTTTGAAACCACTGAACAACAAATCCTGATAACTATTGTAACTTTTTTCTCAATAAAACAAATTCTTCCAGTAATTTTAAGACATTTTTCTTTATTCTGCTGACATTATAACTACATCCTTGTAGTTAAACACGAATTCTCATATCCTGATCCAAACACTCTGTGATACAACTCACAGGGATGACTGACATAAAAGCCACTTTTTGAAAATAAGTGGCTAAGTAAGTGAAAAGGAAACCAAAACCTGATTTAAATCAGAAATGAGGTCTCTCTGATTCGTTCTTGATAAATTCTCACAGAGACAGGAGACGGGTTTCCCCCAGAAAACATGTTAAGCTTGGCAGTACAGGCACTAGGGCCGTTAAAAATTGTGAAAAGCTACAAAAATTATGAGGTGCGTCTTGAGTAGACGTCATGATTGGGAAATGATAGCATGAGCTCAACAGAGAGGTGCAGGGACGCATCATTTTGTCAGCTATAAACCCAGCTTACTGGTGTATAAAAAACTGATGTCAAATAAATAAACAATGATTAGGCAAGTTGAGCCTGGTAACCTGCCAGGCTTATAAAACACTTGGAGAACAAAAGGTGAACTTAGACACTTCTCAGCTCAATGCAACATTTTGGAAAATACACCCGTAAGAAGATGTTTAAACTGAGACAAGATGGTGAAGGTTTGCCGAGTAAGCACGATTCCTGGAGCGGTTTTAAGTTCCTCTCGGCTCCAACTCATGTTGAGAAACTCTCTGGCGTGTGGACCTTCATGTGCTGCAGCAGGTAGCTGCTCCTATTGAAGCCCCGCCCACACAGTGCACATGAGTACATCCTATGGCCCGTGTGTGTGACCGAGTGCTGCTTGAGCGAGGACTTGTCTGTGAATCGCTTCCCACAGGCGGCACAGGCGTACGGTCTCTCCCCGGTGTGGCTGCGGCAGTGCACCATCAGGCTGCTGCGGTGCTTGAAGAGCTTGCCGCAGGTCTGGCAGGAGAACGGAGCCTCGTTGGTGTGCGTGCGCAGGTGGACCCGCAGGTTGGACTTGAAGGTGAAGGCTTTCTGACAGGTGGGGCAGCAGAACGGTTTCTCCCCGGTGTGGATGCGGTAATGCGCGCGCAGCTCCGACGCTTTGTTGAACGCTTTGCCGCAAACGTCACACTTCTGAGTCCAGCTGGATCGCTCAGCCCTGCTGTGGTTCTGATCCGGCTTCCCAGCCGGTTCGAAGCGTTTGGGCCGGTCTTGGCTCTCAGCTGGCAGAAAGCAGTCCTGACCCGGTTCCGGTTCGGGTCCGGCTCCTTCGTAGGCCAAAGCCGCAGCGACCGTTTCGGCCTCCTGCTTCAGAACCGGCTGCTCTTCTTCTGGGCTGATGCGCAGCTCCTCTTCTTCCTCTTTGACCTGTAGAGGTTCTGGTGCCTCCAGGTCCAGGCTGCGGTTCTGGATCTGGAGGTTCTGCTCGTCCATGTAGGGAAATGGCTGCAGCGGCGGGTCTGGAGAGAGAAGATGAGGCGGGTCAGATTAGAGTTCAGACTCTGACCGCTCAACCGGGCCGGAACCAGAACCTTCCTGATGTTTGACTATCATCTCAAATATCACACATATACAGACCTGTCACAATAACAAATAATCCTGGACGATAAATCCTCCCAGAAGTTATCGTGATAAATGACAATATTGTTTTAAGATCATTTTAAAGTAATATAACAATAATAACAAAATAGCAATTCTCAAAGATTAATAAACCTTAAATTATAAAGTTTAACAATGGAACTGGGAGACATTATAAGGGTCCAAAATAAATAAAACAACAGACAACAAATTAAATGAATTATTACATTTCTAAACAAAACTGTCCTTAAAAAAGGGCTGGTTGAGACCAAAACACCAAAAACACTGGAGACTTTTTTCATCCAGTTTCTGGTAGAAAGAGAGAAAAATAATAAATCATGCAAATGGACATTATTGAGCCTGTTTTAAATTATCATGCAATTAATTGATTTACTGATTATTGCAACAGGAATTTGTATTTTAGACCAAAAATATAAAACTACTAGAAAAATATGGAATCTGATCTGATGACCCATTATTTTCAAATGATATGAAATTATGAATTTGTTTTATTGTATTTAAATATTGGTATAGTTTTTGAATAAGAGTTGATATTTTAGTAGTGAACATTAATTTTTGGTTCAAACGTTACGGTTGTAAGAGTGTGGTTTGTACATACAGTGAAACTTCCAATAAACCTCACTGTCCATCAGTAGAGCCACAGTCCTTCATTTGGGGAGATATATATATATATATATATATATATATATATATATATATAATTCATTCAGTAATGTCTGTAATAGTTGTTTTTCATTGGATTTATAAAGAAATCTGTTCCTCAGAATCATTTTAGCTAAAAAAAAAAATGAACCGGGTCACCGTATCCTCCTCGGTGAAGACCCGCATCATTTGTCAGCCGGCGGAGACAGAACCTCCCGGCTGTCTCACATCAGAGGGTGGAGATAACAGGTCAAACTGGGATCTAAACCAGTTAAACCAGTTGAACTAGTCTCTAAAGTCAAAATGGCGAAAATGGAGGAAATTCCTCCTGTGTTTATTGAGATTTTGATTCAAATCTTACCTTTCTAACTGGGTTTTACTTATTTATGTTGATCACTGTATGTTTATTTTGTTTTGTTTTTTTTACATTTAAATCGGAGTTCTAAGCCAGGGCTGGGCAATCCTGTCCTGGAGGGCCGGTGTCCTGCAACTCTTAGATGTCTCCCTGGTCCAACACGCTTGAATCCAACAGCTGAATCTCCTAAGTGCAGTCAGGTTCTCCAGAGTCCTGCTAACGGCCTCATTATTTGACTCAGGTGCGTTTAAGTAGAAACACATCTAAAAGTTGCAGGAGACCGGCCCTCCAGGTCTGGAGTTGCCCACCCCTGTTCTACGCCAACATGTAGGATTTTGCCCAGGTTGGGTTGTTTTACTCCGGTCGGATACGCCACCGGCTCACTGAAAAGGAGCGGGTCCGGAGCTTCACTCTGATCTCTCGGTTCTGCAGGTCCAATGAACATCAGAGCCGGACTAAACTCAGAACCTCCAGGAAGCGAAGCTCTGACTGGACACACCCTGGGTCAGAACCGAGCCGGGACAATGAAAGCCCGCAGGCCCTCCGCGGACCTCCTGACCTGCTCTCTGGAAGCCGCAGTCCGGCCTCCAGCCGCCGTCCAGCAGTCTGCGCTGGCGGTCCAGCTCTTCCTCGTACTGGGCGATGGTTCTCTGGAAGACCGAGAAGATTTCCTCCGCGGCGGCAGTCAGCCGCTGGCTGATGAACTCTCTGAGATGCTGGGCTGAAGACATGCCGGACATGTTCACAGCTAACACTCACTGCTGCAATGGAGGCTGACTGCTAGCTGTTGACATCACGTGACCTTATTGTGTTTTATGCGTGCGTTTGTCGCCCCCCACTGGCCTGGAGGGATGAACTGCTTTTTTATGGCGGCTGGCAAGCAAAGTGCATTTAGATGTGCATTACCGCCACCGACTGGAAAGGAGTGTGGATCGGGTACCTAAATGTATATTATACAGATTTTAAAACTAAACAGCTGAGAGAGTTCCCAAAACCTGTACTGTTAAAGAGTACAACTACTTTAATATGTTTTTACTGAAGTAAAAATAAAAAGTAACCATCCAAGAAATTACTCAAGAGTAAAAAAGTATTTGGTCAAAAGTTTACTAAAGTACAGAAAAACAAAGAATTATATGTGTAATCTCTGAATTTTGACTTTAGTTTTTAAAGTCAAAATTACTTTTGAAAAAAAAAGTATTCTGAGAAAATGTAATAACTCTGACATTGAAGTTAAAATTTTGAGAAAAAAAATAGAATTATGAAAAATCTATTATCACCTATGGTTCGCCGCGTACCCCATAGATGTGGGGTATGGGCCCAAGAAAATAACAAGCGAGTTAAGAAACTAGTATTTTCATTTGAGGTTGTACATGAAGATGCTGTGTTGCTGCAGGGCCAATTTCAAGTTGTGAGGTCCTCTACCTGAAAGTGTTTGAGAAACACTGATCTTGATGCTTAAGCATGTTTGTATTTTATTTATTAAT